ATTGAGCGTCATATTATAACGCCCCCACGGCTGAAAGGGCGAAGTTGAGTGAGAAACGCTCACGAGTAAAGTGCAACAAACCGTCTTCTTGTCTCTGGTGTAGAAAATAAACACCAAATCTATGTGCAGGAAGCTTCTCAAGTTCTTCATGTTAATATCGAGATTTCTCTTTGATTATTATTGTATGTGTTTAAGGTAACGCTACATAAATCTTTCTACATCATGATTATAATTTATGCACAAAATTCTTCTCTAGCCTTCTTTATTCTGCGTATTCGTTATTATTTGAAGATAACACCAAATTAGACGTTCTCTTGCGTTGTCAGGTTTGGTATTTAATCTGGTCGTTAACTTTGAAGTCACGTGCGGGGTGAACTAGAAAACTGTTTTTAGGCTTAACCTAGTGGATTGATTTTATCTAGTCTAAATTAAATAGCATAAAAACTAGAGATTTGTACATATTCTAAGTCTTAAATAGGAGTTTTAATCATTATTAAGTCAAAGCCTTAAAATGTGTAACATCCAAATGTTACAGAAACACAACCTTAGTGATTAATTATGTTTTTGAAAACTAATGAAGTTCCAGAGTATTTATAGCGACAGAAAATAGTGCTTTTTAAAAAAGTATATCGTTGTATATGACTTTTTAATAATATAATAAGCAGGTATATTGTTTTTGTTGGTTATTATTGAAAATTCTGTGAGTATGGTTACTCTTATCACACTTAGTTCATATTTGACTCACCACCATAAAGAAACTAAAGCTAGTCCTGGCACAGTGATCACCAACTGTGTCATAAACCAGTCTCGAGTGAGCCACGCTATTCCAGGGAGAGTGACGTAACCAATTGACCATCCAATTCCCGATCCCACACCTAGCCAGGTCCTGTGTTCAGGCCCACAAGATTCCATCACTAGGGAGTACAACAGTCAATTAACTTCTCTAGAATTATAATAAACTAGTAATATTTTCATAGACACTTAATAAGCACCCAAATAATACAGAAACAACCCCTACTCGTATAAAGATGACGGTTATTTCTATTATATTATTTTAGGAAAGCATTAAAAAAATCAATTACCTTGAACGTAATGCCTTTTTTTGTAATCTGTACCTAACTTTACCAAAAGTAAATTAATTTATCATAATTTTGTTTTTACAAAACAGAAAACATACCAATTGAAAAATAATGGAGCAAAGGCTAGTGAACATTCGCTATTGACGCATATCAATAACATGTGAAGTTTAACCTGGTATAATGCTGAAGCTGAGCCAAATTACTTGACTGTTTCAAAACAGATTATGTTAAATACAGAATAATGCACCAGACCTGCGTTTACTTTAACCTTTGAAACCCATAATGTTTTGTCCGTTCTGTCAGAATTATTTCAATGATTTCCTAATAATTATCATCATACCTAATAAAATTTCAATTTTCTTAATGTTGTTTTCACCCTTCGGCACCAGGAGGACTCATATGAAAAGTTGAGTAAATAGCCTCAAACCTCTCCCTGTTGAACAACGATCTCACCGTCCTATTGAGTAAATAGCCTCAAACCTCTCCTTGTTGAACAACGATATCACCGTCCTATTGAGTAAATAGCCTCAAACCTCTCCCTGTTGAACAACGATATCACCGTCCTATTGAGTAAATAGCCTCAAACCTCTCCCTGTTGAACAACGATATCACCGTCCTATTGAGTAAGTAGCCTCAAACCTCTCCCTGTTGAACAACGATATCACCGTCCTATGGGTAAATCGGAATTTTCGGCAGGACACTTCTAACGTCCGCTCGGGCTTAAGGAGTTATATATGTTCGTTTACATAAAGTTTAGACACATCAACATGTGTAGTCCTATTTGACACGCCCAAATGTGTAACATTATGTTACTTAGTCGTACTTGACACGCCCACCTGTGTAATATCATATTACTTACTCGTGTTTGACACGCCCACCTGTGCAATATCATATTACTACGCCCACCTGTGCAGTATCATATTACTTAGTCGTATTTGACACGCCCACATGTGTAATATCATATTACTTAGTCGTATTTCAAATCTTATCAACAAATTAACGTTCTTTTCAGTCTATAGATTTACCAGGATCCTTAAAAGAATCTCGTGATTCTGGTTTGAAGATTTTTAAAGTAGTTTGAATATGACCTCACTTACAGTAGTAGTGTTATTTTAACATCATATATAAAGTGTACGTCATCATAGGTCAGAGAAGTTAGACAGCTTGGTGGGACAATTGCGAGAATTGTTAGTGACGTAAACAAGCACTTAGTACTCAGACTAAAACTTGTTTATATTCATTTAGAAACTACAGATGTCAGAGGTTAAACGCTCCCTATTTCCTACGTCAAATGTTTCCTTATAAGAAGCCTTATTTCATGGATCAAACAACCAAACAAAAAATATCAAGTCCAACGAGATTTTCGTCTCTTTAACCTTTACTTTCACTTCATCAAGAGTAACAATTGTATATACTAACGATGGATAAACGACGTTGTATAAAGTCCAGACTTTCCAAGGGCGATAAAGAAACGAGCAATGACAAACACAGTAAAACTTGGAGCAAAAGCAGCGACAAATCCTGCCACACACATGATGAACAAACACAATAACATCACAGGGCGACGGCCAACCCTAGAACAGAAACATCAAATATTAAGCCTGTGTAACTTGTCTACAAAAACTAACGAAACGTTATCATGACAGAAAATAAACCTAGAATCTTACCTGAACAAATATAAATCGTTCTTATTCAAACACTAACAACTTCAACAGTCTTTCTTTCATTAACTCTTCAGGCGAGAAAAAAAAAAGTCTATTTATTCATGCGTTGGCAAACATTTATCAACATAATTATGTTCTTTGTTGTTGTTTTTTATTATTCACTCGATGGGACAGCGGTAAGTTTACCTACTTACAACACTAAAATTCGGGGTTCAAATCCCCGCGATGGACATAGTAGATAGCCCAGTGTGGCTTCGCTTTAAAACAAACTTTACTGAATTAATTTTTTTTTTTGGTTGAGATAATTGAATCATTACGCTTGAATGATACAAATATTTAATACGAATGCGAAAAATGTTCATTTCCATAAACAGAAAGTTTATATTTAATGAGATTCTTTGATTTGACTGTCCTTCATTTACTTACTCTTGCTTTTCCATATATATGTATATATATATAAGTGTATGTGTGCATGTGTTAATATTTATTGGAAACAGCTACAGTTTTACCAGTCGGTTTAACAACATCAACATTTTCGGATACCTCCAATAAAACATTTCCTGGTAAAAGACACTTTACATGAGCGAGTTCTGTTGTGTGCACATGCTACTTCTCTCGTGAAATAACCACTTTGTTATATGGTCCGTGCTTCCTCGTGGTTCTCAAACAACTAATACTTCCTTTTAAAGTAGTTGGTCCGAAAACGTAACCAGGGTGCCACTCTAACGAACATTATAATAGAAAGGAAACTGGCATACAGTGAAATACGCTAAAAACCAGGCGTGGCTTAGTATTTAGTGTGCTTGAGTGGAAGGTATGAGGCTTAAGTCTCTGTATACCCTTTAACATGCTCTTTCAGCTGTGGAGTGGACTAGCTATGAAAGTGAGTCATACTATTTAGGCCCCGGCATGGCCAGGTGGTTAGGACGCTCGACTCGCGGGTTCGAATCCCCGTCACACCAAACATGTTCGCCCTTTCAGCCGTGGGGACGTTATAATGTGACGGTCAAACCCACTATTCATTGGTAAAAGGGTAGCCCAAGAGTTGTCGGTGGGTGGTGATGACTAGCTGCCTTCCCTCTAGTCTTACACTGCTAAATTAGGGACGGCTAGCGCAGAT